TTTGTTATTAATTTTGTAGAGACACGGAGGTCTGGGGACTATCATTTCCCAGGCTGGTACTTGAATCTCCTGGCCTCAGCGATCCTTCAACCTTGGCCTCCCAAAGTTGGCTGAGATTACAGGCTTGAGTCAGGAAAAAGAGGTCACGGATTTACCAAGCTCCTTGCCTCAGGGAAGGGGTGGAGTTCGAATTGAAGTCTTAGGTTCTGGCCGGGCGCGGTGGGCTCAAGCATGTAATCCCAGCCTTTGGAGGGGCCGAGACAGGCGGATCACGAGGTCAGGACGAATCGAGGACCATCCTGGGGCTAACACGGTGAAACGCCGTCTCATATAAAAAATACAATAACTAGCCGGCGGAGGTGGGCAGGCGCCTGGCGCCTGTAGTCCCAGCTACTCGGGAGGCTGAGGCAGGAGAATGGCGTGAACCCAAGAGGTGGAGCTTGCAGTGTGCTGAGATTGCGCCACTGCACTCCAGCCTGGGCGACAGAGCAAGACTCCGTCTCATAAAAAAGAAAGTCTTAGGTTCTAAAGCCACTTCTTTTTCACTAGGTCTGTACATGGATTCAGTTCATCAAATACTTGAACACCTACTCTGTGCGTGGTACTGTTCTTGTTCTAAGTGCTGGAGAGAGAACAGTGAACAAAACATAGGAAAATCTGTGCCCTCAGGAAGCCTACATGCTCAACCTCACTGCCTTTACAGAGAGGTGGGACACAGACACCAGTAAATAAAGGTGGTCGCTGAAAAGGGCCAAAGGTCTGAGGAGAACTTCTCAGGGCACATAAGACCCTGTCCCAGCCTGCCCGACTGGCACTGGCTGCCCTCACTCACCCCTCCATGCCTCTGTACTTGCTTTGTGGCCCAGCTGGAGTGCAGTGGCGCAATCTCGGCTCACTGCAAACTCTGCCTCCCGGGTTCACGCCATTCTCCTCCCTCAGCCTCCAGAGTAGCTGGGACTACAGGCTCCCGCCACCATGGCCAGCTTTTTTTTTTTTTTGTATTTTTGGTAGAGACGGGTTTCACTATGAAGGCCAGGATGATCTTGACCTCACGTGATCTGCCCTCCTCGGCCTCCCAAAGTGCTGGGATTACAGGCATTAGCCACCGCGCCCGGCCAAGCGTCACTTTTTAAAACAGCCAGTTTATTGAGACAGGTGCTTTGCAGGTATTCTCATTACAACCCTATGAGACAGATGTATTTTCATTTTGCAGATGAGGAAACTGAGGTTCTGAGTGCAGTGCTTTGCCCTTGCACCCAGCAGGTAGAGAGCAGGGCTGGACTCCAGGCTATGGGACACCGTCCCCTGCTCTGATGCCTCATGGCTTTTCTTCCCTCTCCAGCTTATCACCCAGACTTTCAGCCACCACAATCAGCTGGCACAGAAGACCCGGCGGGAGAAGAGAGCCCGGCAGGAGGCCGAGCGGCGGGAGAAGGCAGAGCGGGCGGCCAGGCTGGCCAAGGAAGCCAAGTCAGAGACCTCGGGGCCCCAGATCAAGGAGCTAACTGATGAAGAGGCAGAGAGGCTGCAGCTAGAGATTGACCAGGTGAAGAGTGGGCTTCCCTTCTCTACCCCTCAGATCCCCACTGGCACTGAGCAGGGGGTCTTGTTGCCAACTGCTGTGCTCTTTGCTCCAGAAAAAGGATGCAGAGAATCATGAGGCCCAGCTCAAGAACGGCAGCCTTGACTCCCCAGGGAAGCAGGTGAGATGGACTGCAGGGACTTGGGATGAGCCAGGAGGTTGGAACTTACAGGAACTCTGCTGCCTACTGCTTTCTCTGAAATACCCTTCCTTATCCTAACCCCTCCCCTCCCGACTTTGGGAATCTTCCCCATACTTTAAGATCACACTCAGAGACATTGAACCAAAGGATCCAGGTTAAAAAAAAAAAACCCACTGGGCGTGGTGGCTCACGCCTGTAATCCCAGCACTTTGGGAGGCCAAGGCGGGTAGATCACGAGGTCTGGAGTTGAAGACCAACTTGGCCAAGATGGTGAAACCCTGTCTTTACTAAAAATACAAAAATTAGTCAGGCCTGGTGGCGGGCACCCGTAATCCCAGCTACTCGGGAGGCTGAGTCAGAGAATTGCTTGAACCCAGGAGGCGGAGGTTGCCATGAGCCAAGATCGCGCCACTGCACTCCACCCTGGGCAACAGAGCAAGACTCTGTCTCAAAAAAAAAAAAAAAAAACAAAACCAACTGGCCTTAACCCATTTATGGCAGGAAAACCCAAGAGCCAGAAAGGGCAGTGCCTGTTACAGGTCCCATCTGAGGTTGGCTGGGTTCTGTGGGCCCAGCCATATCTTTTGTCACATGGTATAATAGTCTGAGCTCCTCTCAGGCTGAGATCGGAACCACATTTTACCTGGTTCCTGGTGGACCGAGGCTTGGGGTCTGCCCCTCTGTGGAGTGGGCAGGTACCAAGTCTCTTTTCTTTTGTGACTGTATGCCCAGTGCTAGCCCTGGGCTTGGCCCAGTGAGGGTTCAATGTGTGTCTTGTTTGTCAAGTAAGTAGCTGAGTGTCCCTGATTATAAGCAGGAGACTGAGGAAGATGAGGAGGAGGAAGATGAGAAGGACAAAGGAAAACTGAAGCCCAACCTAGGCAACGGGGCAGACCTGCCCAATTACCGCTGGAGCCAGACCCTGTCGGAGCTGGACGTGAGTGGCAGGGAGTGGCAGGGACCAGAGGTGAAGCTTAGGGAGCCAGCCTGGGGTACCAGCAGCACTTAGTGGCTTCTTCTGACTGCCTCTGCCCTATGCAGCTAGCGGTCCCTTTCCGTGTGAACTTCCGGCTGAAAGGAAAGGATGTGGTGGTGGACATCCAGCGGCGGCACCTCCGGGTGGGGCTCAAGGGGCAGCCAGCGATCATCGATGGGGAGCTTTACAACGAAGTGAAGGTGGAGGAGAGCTCGTGGCTCATTGAGGACGGCAAGGTGGTGACTGTGCATCTGGAGAAGGTATGTGAGGCCCAGCCCTTCTAGCCTGGGGTGTTGATGGAAGAAGAAAGGAGGATGTGTGCTTATTTTACTCAGGAGCCATGCTGGGGGCATTGTGGAATTATCTTAATCCCCATGACAACACTCTTTAAAGTAGATCTGTCCCTATTTTATTTTCTTAAAGACAAGGTCTCACTCTGTTGCCCAGGCTGGAGTTCAGTAACACCTTCTTAGCTCACTGCAGCCTTGAACTCTTGGGCCCAAGCTATTCTCTCATTTCATCCTCCTGAGTAGCCAAGACTACAGGTGCACACCACCACGCTTGACTAATTTTTGTTATTAATTTTTGTAGAGACACGGAGGTCTTACTATATTTCCCAGGCTGGTCTTGAACTCCTGGCCTCAAGCGATCTTCACACCTTGGCCTCCCAAAGTGCTGAGATTACAGGCTTGAGTCAGGAAAAGAGGTCACTGATTTACCCAAGCTCCTGCCTCAGGGAAGGGGGTGGAGTCAGAATTGAAAGTCTTAGGTTCTGGCCGGGCGCGGTGGCTCAAGCCTGTAATCCCAGCTACTCGGGAGGCTAAGGCAGGAGAATCACTTGAACCCCAGAGGCAGAGGTTGCAGTGAGCTGAGATCGCGCCATTGCACTCCAGCCTGAGCAACAAGAGCGAGACTTCATCTCAAAAAAAGAAAAAGAAAAGAAAGCTCCCTGGCTTTCTGCTAACGTGGCCTTTCTGGGTGTGGTGTCAAGTCTTGCATAGCTGGACTGTGGTCTTGGAGATAGGATGCACTAAGAGTAAGAGTGATTAGTCAGAAGAGCCGGTCATTGTGGGCCTGAGAATTCAAGAAAGGCTTGTGAGGGACTGAGGCTTGAGTTTTTGCTTTTAACAGCATCACTTTTTTTGTTTTGTTTTTTTGAGACAGGGTCTCACTTTGTCACCCAGGCTGGAGTACAGTGACCTGATCTCGGCTCACTGCAACCTCCACCTCCCTGGTTCAAGCAATTCCCCTGCCTCAGCCTCATGAGTAGCTGGGATTACAGGCGCACGCCACCATGCCTGGCTAATTTTTTGTATTGTTAGTAGAGACGGGGTTTCACCATGTTGGCCAGACTAGTCTGCAATTTATTTATTTATTTATTTTGAGATGGAGTCTTGCTCTGTCACCAGGCTGGAGTGCAGTGGCACGATCTCAGCTCACTGCAACCTCTGCCTCCCAGGTTCAAGTGATTTTCCTGTCTCAGCCTCTCAAATAGCTGGGACTACAGGCACACACCACCGTGCCCAGCTTTTTTTTTTTTTTTTTCTTGGTAGAGATAGAGTCTCACTATGTTGCCCAGGCTGGTCTTAAACTCCTGGGATCAAGCATCCTCCTGCCACAGTTTCCCAAAGTGCTGGGATTACAGGCATGAGCCACACCCCCAGCCCCCAA